TAATGTGTCAAATCAGTAAATGTGTTCCACTAAGTCTGTGCAAAGATTGTGAAATGTTTCAGGGCAACGTATCTCTGCTCTCCTGTTCACATACTCGTCACCACCAATTTCTACTGATTGTCTCTCGGGTATGGATTCTTCCTCGTCATATGCACAGATCACTCTTCCTTCGTCTTCAATAATCATATTATGTAATATGAGACATGTAGACATGATTTCTTGAAGTTTTTCCTCGCCGAAATAAATTGCTGGTTTTTTCAATATGAACCAATGTTTCTTAAGATCTCTAAAATCACGTTCGACATCTTTCCGAGCTCTTTCTTGAGCTCTCTTGAATTTTTTCGTCTAGAACCATGTAGACACATAAACGACTTAACAAACACAACATACTCAGGATAGATCCCATCAACAAGATAATAACCATACTTATGGCGTTCCATGCACTTCAAAAAAAGATTTTGGTGCAGATCCGTCATATATGTTGTTATGTCAATGATTAAGAACGTTGATGTTGTTAATCGAAACGAGAGAACCAAAAAAAGCATACCAAATTCACAGATCTTGTGATACAACTGTTTCAAGTATGACCGTTGGGTGACCATGATCACCTCGGATAAATTGATCATGGTGTGAGGTAGGGCAATTTTGCCATGCCCAATGCAGACAATCTAAACTTCCTATTATTTCCAGAAAACTCATGTACACTAGCATGATGAGCTTGCAATTGTAAGATGTCATTACGTGTAGGCTTACGTAAATATTTTGGACCATAAAACTGAATCACAGTTTTGCAAAAATAGTGGAGACTATCTCGTGCATTCCTAGCAGACATCCGAAAACTCTCGTCCAATGCATCAGGCGTAATGTCATATGCTAATTGACGAAGTGCGGCGGTGCATTTTTATAAGAGAGTGAAACCGGGTGTACCTCTAGCATTAGAACGTTGTTGCAAAAACTACACTCCCTCGTTACATCTTCAATTGTGTGTTCTTATAAACGTTTGAACATTCTGAAGCGCCTACGAAAATAGTACCCTTGATAAGTGACATTCTCTTGAAAGTAGTCGTGTATCAAACGTTGGTTGGATTCTTCACAATTTCTGCAAATATATCTTCATGTTCTCAGTTGAGAACCTTCGGATGTGTTATTGCATAAAACGTCATACGTTTGTTCCACCATTTCAGCACAATCAATAGCAGCATAAAAAATAACTTGAAATTCTTCAGAAGATGACTTTTTCTATTAATTTTGAGAGAGAAAACAATACAGAAATGTAAATGTTTGGTTTTGGTTTGAACAAACGAACTAGATGTTTAATTTATAGGAAAGAAAGAAAAAAATTAAATCTATACATTTTGGACCATTGAACAATCATTTTTTCCATTAACCAATCAAAACATGTTGTAACGCCCGTAGATCCGGGCTAATCAATTTACAGATAATAGGAGTCGAAAACGACTTTTCAACAAAAGATTATTAGAATAAATAATCTTAAACAAGTTGTAGAATATGTCTCAAGGGTTCCATACATATAAAGAACGCCGAAATCTGAGTTATAACGAAGAAGTTATGGCCCGTCGAAGTTTTACGGCAAAACTGGCACGACACCGGGAGACGTAAAAAAATGAATTTATGATAGAGCTTCTTTTAGCCTTAGTAATCTAAATAAAAGTCGTAGAATATGTTAACCTAAGACCGTCCATAAAAAGAACGCCCAAATCTGACTTTTTATGAGGAAGTTATGATTTTTCGAAGTTTTGGCTTAGCGGTGTACAACACAAAGTTCGAGTATTAGATCGAGCGGTTTTTAGCTGACACAACCTAAACAACAATCGAATATCTCATTATTAGTAGCATAACGATAAAACGACAGACGAAAATGGATATCGGATGAAGAATTTATGAGATTTTAACGGACCAATCATGTCCCGGTCTGTTAAAAATACAACTTTAAAAATAAAATCAAAATTAGCCGACGGGGTCTAAACGAAAGTTGTAGAGTATGTCTCCACCTACGCGTGGATATAAAGAACGTCAAAAATGGAGTTCGTATGAACAAGTTACAAACTATAATAGCATATTTACGTATTAAAATAAAGTACAAACCATATATACTTACACACACACATGTATATATATATATATATATATATATATATATATATATATATATATATATATACATATGTATGTATCATTAGAAAGATATCGACGATGTGGTCATTATAAGACTAATGTTGAGTTCTTTTGACATTAGTTTAGTACAAATTTAATTAAATCCATTTAAAATAGTATTATAGAGGGGTGTTTAGTTATTTATATAACTAAAAGGTCATTAAGTAATTATGGATGGTAGTTTTTGAAAATTCAATTAGTATAAATAAGAGTCTTGGGCTCTCATATTTCTTGCACCATTCTCTTGATTTAAAAATCTTTCTCTCCTTATCCCCGAGCATTTCGGTCCCTCGTGATTCGACTTCTCTTTCTGTAGTTTTTAGTATAGTAAGGTGAGCGCTAGAGCGCTGCGTGAATCTTTCTTAGAAAGATTCAGCGACGAAGATCTACCCCTGCAGAGCCCGACTCCTAGCTAGTAAGTTATGCTTATCTTATTTTAATATAGCTTATATTTAAAATTAATATTGTTATTATGAACTTATAATAAATATTTGAGCTATTATGATGACTCATATAAGTGTCATTATAATATCTTTTTAACTACTCGCGATACGGGAAATCTGGTTTAAAAGGTCGCATAGGGTTGTCGGATTTCAGAAGTACTATACGCCAAAATGGTCCTGCCCTCCGGTGTTTTATGTATGACCCCTGTCTGTACATGGTGGTTGGAAAGTATTGTTTAAACGCTTATATTATAATAATAATAATAATAATAATAATAATAATAATAATAATAATAATAATAATAATAATAATAAGACTAATAATTAGTCACGGTAAATATTAGACTAAAATTTAGTGGTAATAATACTAGGTTTCGTCGAAGGAAATTGTTTTAAAGTAAACGAAGCGCTGTTCGAGTACTGAGTCACCACCTTCTCAGGTGAGTGCATAGTTACTTTCATCTTACACATATATATGAAGTATTTTATATAAATTACGTGCTATGTGTGCATATTATCTGAATATTTGTTGTCTATGCTGGATGAACGATTTTATACATGTTTTAAATGATTTAAACTGTATATGTATTTTATATCTACGATAATGTTGGGGTAAAACATGGATATATGTAATAGATGGAATATGAGTTTCATGATGAGTTTAGAGGTGTTATAGACCACGAGGTGAGGGTGAGAGGTGGACGATGTGAGAAGCCTTTTCCCAAACGATGGCTCCATCATTCAGTAGAGTATGGATGACAACCACAGACTATTCTAGACAGTCCAGTGGAATACTAGCAAGCTCGCAACCTATAGGTGTTGTGAACGATGTGTTCACCCGGTGTACTCTAAACCTTGGCGACCATGCAGACTTGGTGCCTAAACCTTGGCGATCATGCAAACTTGATGCCTACACCTTGGCGACTATGTAGACTTAATGCCCGTTGTGTAAACCTTGGCGATAATGCAGACTTGATGCCTAACCCCTGGAGACTATGCAAACTTAGTGCCTGTTGTGTAAACCGTGGCAACAATGGACTTCGTGCCGATTCCTTAGGATGAACCTTAGGAATAAATGAACGAGGAATAGCTGATTCTTAGGGTAGATCCTTAAAAATAAAGAAGATAATGAGGATGGGTAATTGGGTTGATTGCTTAATTGTTTAAGCATAATAATTATATTATTGTGGGTTGAAAACCCTATGTACTCACCAGGTTTCCCAACCTGACCCACTCAGTTTATTTATATCACATGTGTTGATATGAAGTGACATTACACTGAGAGATTAAGGAGATATAGATCACTAGTGTAAATGAATGTAAAATCTGTTTATGCTTATGTTTCTGTATTGACGATGACATCCCAAATGTTTTAAAATGAATAAAATACATTTCTTCAGAAATGCTTTGATGACATATTTATCGTTTTTTTTTTTTTGAATAAATTCCGCAACATTTTTATTAAAATAGGTATTCTGATTTTTACAAAGCATAACACAAAATCGGTGTTTTCTGGACGTGAAAATGAACATATCACACATGCGGCCAAAAAGGGAGAGGTGCAGCCTAACTGCACCCAAGACCGCATGGGGGGAGAGGGGGAGGGGGGGGGGGGAGGGGTGTTCCCATGCCTATGTAACAAAAAGTACGGTAGAAACCGCACCATTCTCTTGAGTCTTATATAAACAAAAACATGTTCCTATGGAAAATTTTCGATTTGGTTTTAATCTAAATTCAAATTATTCGATATTTTGGCTTGGTATTTCCATAGTCAAAACCTAAACTTTTGATCTAGTTTTGGTTTTTGGTTTTAATGGTCAGTGATTACTATATATGATCATAAATTACTATGTTTAATAATCAGAAATTATATTGTATTTTTTTTTAAAAAGATGCTTTTGAAAAATGTTTTTATTATGAATGGATATTTTGAAAAAAAAAAAAAAAACAAAGTATTAAAGATAAATAGTTGAAAACTTGATAGTTTTCACAAAACTTTCCCTGAATTAGTTACAAGATTTTTCTGATTATTAACTTAATAGTGTTCATGAAACTTTCCTTAAATTAGTTATGTGATTTTTCTGATTATTAATTGAATATCTTTTTTTTTTTTTCGTTTACGTATTTCGTACTTGGTAAGTAGAATAATTTGCTGGGAACTTATTCGTAAACAACATTTTTTCTCCATACACAATAATTTGTATTTTAAAGTATTGTATTATACAACTTTATAATGCATAAATTGTTGTGTTTAACAAAAAAAATTGCTAAATATTTATAAAGATTCCTATTAAATTAAAAGATTTGTCTTTTATGTGTTACTAATAGCCAAACATGTAAAGTTCTATAATATCTTACCCTTCAAATTGTATTTTACATATTAAAAATGATCAACGTAACACCCACCTAAGAATTCAGTTGTATTTACTTGAATGAAAAATCTAACGAATCGAATTTATCCAAAACTCTCATGGATCAAACACTAAAATTTTCCTAAAATACTCAATTCCTTAATTGGAAAATTGTTGATTTCAATTAATTGTTTGGCATCTTCTAGATGTCATGATCAGGAGGCAGTTCTTCCAAACAATGATACAACTCTTCCAAACTCAAATTGTCAAGCCACTCATTCCCATCATCATCTCTTTGCATCAAATTTTCCACAGTGATTTGCTCACTTGTCCCGTTGACTTTAGTCAAAGATTCCGGTGGTAAGTCGCTCAAGAACATGACGTCGTCACCTTCAAACTCGCCATCAAAGTTTTCAAATGAATTCACACTATCACTGTTGTTACTTTGTGATTCTTCTAATGGTGATTCAGGATGAAGATCACGTGTATGATGAACGTTATTATCTTCTGGTATGATCCTCTCGTTTGGATTGTTCTTCTTGTTGTAAAGACGACACAAAACCCAATCATCCAACTACAGTTATTAGAACATACCATGTCAATCCAATGGTTCTTATTGAAGAATTCAGTACTTAGCATGAATTTAGATGGAAAACACAAAATGAAAATGTCAAACGCACCTTAGAAATGGTGGAATTGGTGTGTTTAGAAGAGGTAGAGTTTGGCATATCAAGTCTATACTCATGCATGATCCAATTCGTCTTGATCCCTTTAATGCCTTTTCCTGCATAAAATACCAAAGCTTTCTTGATCCCCACGACTGTATTCGGGTCGGATTTTGTCCTTATGGGTTTATCAGCTCCGGTAGCCTTCCAGTACCCGTTTCTAGTTACCCGGTTTGGTCTTGACCCGTTAGGGTATTTCCTGTCTCTTGGTGTGAAGAAGTACCATTCCTTTGTTCCAAACAGAGCCATTTCTGAAGAGATTTAGGGCAAAAATTCCTCAGTAATCAGGCTTTAATAAGCTGCAAATTGCGAAGATGTTATGGAGTTGAAAAGAAAAGTTACCAGGAAGCTCCCATGGATCGTGTTTGTAGAGATCAACCTCAGCGATGATTGGCGGTGGTGGAGCAACAGCAACAATCTCCGCTGTCGTTTGGGATTTGCGGCAGAGATAGTGAACGATGAGCTCCTCGTCTGTCGGGTGAAATCGGAAACCGGGAGGCAAATTCAACTCAGCTTCAGCATCTCTTACCCTTTTTGTTACGGATTTCGACGGCGATCTCATATTTTAATGCGATGAATCCAAAATCGACCTGAATCGAATCTATATCTGATTTTCTGGTTTCTTGTTGTGGTTGAAATGTGTAAGAAATGAAGTTGAAATGTAAAATTTGAAGATGAGGAGAATTGAGGAACCCCATGGGAGTGTTATATACCTGCTCTGAATTGGTTTAGGAAATTCGGGAGCTTTTGGAGAACGACAGAGGAAATAGAGAAGTGTCTCGTGTGACCTCGACAATAAATTCAATAATGGGCCCGACCTCCTTTGAGGGGTCATGAAAATTTATAGCTCGTACATAACAAAAAATGCTACATATAGAAAAGATATATTAAACATTTTTTAATCATGTAGTATGATTTATTAGTTTGAATAAATTGCATGACGCCACTCTTTGATTAATATAACATCTTTGGTTCAAATTTGACCTATTGTTGCGGAAATTCTCCCTCTTTGATTGATATTACACACCTTTGTTCCAAACTTATAATTGCTGTAAAAATTGTCTATATTTTAAACTAAATTCGCATGCAATGTTAAAGACCCTCTCATAGGCAAGTCATGTGAGGACATTTATGTATTTTCATAACCCAAAAAAAATTACCATTGATGACATGTTGACATGTTGTTCATCATTAATTTATATAATTTTCGTATCTTTGGCATTTTTGTATATTTACTTCAACAAACAAATACAACTGCACGATAATTTATGCTTAGGGTATGAAAATTTCGAAATAGTAATAGTTAGAATTAACATTTTAGAGTTATTATGTTTTTAATGCAGGTTTGTGAGACTCTAGTAATTACATGGATGTTAGGATTTATTTGACAACCCGCTGTGGCCTCTAGGCATTAGGGGTGAGCATCATAATTGGTTATTCGTTTTCGGAACCGGAACTGCTTTTAGCCTTAATCCAAATTGATTCCATTTGGACCGAACTAAACTGTGGTTTTATGGACAAAAGTATTTTTTTTATGTAACCGGGATACCCATTCATGGTTCCGAAACCGCCAGTTTCAGGAGTAGTTCTGGTTCTGATTTTAACTGTCTAGGAACCGCCTGTTGCAGGTCTGTTCTGGTTCTTGCCAAATAAGGCGGGTACCTATCTATGGCCATCCTTACTACTCATGGACCATGTTTGATAGATTGGAGTGTTGTCCAAGGAGCTTGGTATGTTGTACAAGTCTTCTTAATTTTCCTTGACAAATAAGGAAATAGTAATACGAAAAGTTTATATATTTATCTATCTAGCATCCTAGTTGAATTCTAATGTGTTTTTTGGTTTAGTATAAATCCGATGGGTAGGTTCTTGTAAACACAATCAATTGGAGACTTTAGAGTTGTATTTTCTTCAATAAATTATTTACGAGTTTAGGTAACATGCTTTTGTTTATAGCTTTATTTTTTACTTTAATTTGTACTAGAGCTAAGGAAAGAACAATAATCAGTCGATGATGGTAAGAAGAGAAACTTCACAGTCGGTGGGGAAGGAATCCACCTCACTAACGTTTTGGTATCTGACCCTAATGACAACAAATTACACCATTTGGAGAATGCATATGGAGATAGTCCATGGGATTCAGGTATCCAAGAATGATTAATCATTTTTTGCTAGTTTAGTCACAAAAGACCATTTTTCTTGTAGTTGATTATGTTAAGAAGAACTATATTGTTAAAGGACTCATGTTCCAATCGATACCTAAAGATGTATGTTGGATTAGGTGTCTAACTTCATAACTATTCCTGGAATGTACGTGATCCGGTTAGCATGGTCTATTTGGGTTGCATGACATTGCAACACTTGGATAGACTAAATGAGAGAAATAACACTTAAGGCTTATTAATATATTATAAGTTCTAGTACATTAATAATATCATTTAATTAATATTGATCAATAATTAATTAATGATCAAAAAGAGACTAATTAAATATATGGGGTTGATTCTGTAAATCATATTGTCTTGTATAGCTGGGCTAATGATCCATGGTTTGTATGGATTGGGTTAAAACCCATAAGGTGCTCCATGGATAGTTTATGGAGGTTACAAACCCATGGATCATGGAATATGCAAAGCCATGACAATTAGGGTTTACATGGTGTAACCCTACTTTGTTCACAACTATATAAAGGCCCAATGTCTAGGAAAATCGGCTACTACAAGCAAGTAAGAGGGCAAACCGATTTTTGGAGTGTAAGTGTACTACTCTCAAGGTTATTCCAAGTATTGTGGTGTTGTGTGAGACATTTGAGGCATCACACTTGAGGTGCTAGGATCACAAGGTTCTTAAGGAATCCAAACAAAAAAAACGTATGTATCTCAACTAGCTATTATGTTTAAAAGTTCCCCATGCCATGCTAGTTAGGTTAATAACCTTGGAAATCAAATTTTCATGTATCTTAGTAAAACATAGATTAAAGGTTTCTAGGGTTGCATGTACACCTTAGGAGTGTTAAAATGCTCAAAACCCTTCAGTGGTATTAGAGCCTAGGCTTGTTACTTGATACTTGATGCAAACTTGTTGAAAAAACTCAAAAAATTGCTATCTACTAAGTGAACTCTCTGAGTCCATGGCGGGACTCGACGAGTCCATGTGATAATTCATCCTAATCGTTGAGTAGGTTCGTGCACTCGACGAATAGGAGCCCCTGATTGCAGATTTTTGAGTTTTGCTGCTGGAAATGGATTAGAAACATTAGCCTAAATGTTTTGGTCTTGTAAAACTTGTTTTAGATGGTGTAATGTTTATGCTAATCCATTTTCAATGGCTAATATCAAAATTTCAAGTTTTGTATGGTTTATTTATGATCTTGAAATTGTTGATTTGAACATTCATGAACTTATGAGTTTAGATGATCATAGGAATTATTTGTAACTTGCTTGGTAGTTTAATTCTTGATCTTGATGTGTTTTAATGGAATCCATAATTTGTCCTCAAGTTAAGGATTACCAAAAGTCACACTTTTAAAGTCCATTATTAAACACATAGGTTACATAAAATGAAAAGTCTCTCATTTTAATAAACCATAACTCATAAGTTATGAAAGATGAAAAGTTTTGAAAGTTACAAAACTTGCCCTCAAGTTTTGGAACATGTAAAGTCTCTTTCAAAACTTTAGTTCCAACCCATAGAATTTTAACAGTTAAAATTCAACCCTTATACTTTATAATATTATAAGTTAATAATATATATATATATATATATATATATATATATATATATATATATATATATATATATATATATATATATAAGAACAAAAAGTAGTTTTACCGTTAGTAGGATTCATTCACGAAGCCGGTCTATAAAGGGGGTATAAGGTTGCTGCCTATAAAATGGTAGATTAATGAGTGTCCACTCTCACCTACTGCTTCCTTGACTGGTGGAGGGTCGTTAGCCAAACGGGTAGGGCAATGACTTTAAATCCTCATTAAAAGTAAATGAAAAATAAGGTAACTAAATGGTTTTATAAATTCCCAATCTTAGTTACTTTAGGAAAACATGAATAAGGTGCTAACCCATGAAATTACACTTTGCATTTTTTCTAAGTCATTAGTGGAGCATGTGTGGTTAACCGGTACACTAACCTGGACTTAACAAGGTAGAAAAAGGGTGAATTAAGGTTTATCATAGGTCGGTGGAGCGCGTGTGGTTAACCAGCACATCGATTGAGTGATAAACATTAAGGGTACCAAGTAATTTGCATGGTTACTTCACACCTTGTTTTGTGATCCTCGGCATCCCAGTCACAAAACTTGAAGGGCACACTCGAGATTGAAACATGCCATTGGAAAGTTCAATGAATCTCAAAGAATCTAGTAGTTTCAAAACCAATGAAAACCTAATAATTTATTTCGTTTTTCATGGTGGAAATTGGTGAATCGTCAATCACCTACCTTCAAATATTTTATAGCTTGGATTACGACATCCCTCTTCTAAGTTATAGAATATTGTGTTGGGTCCTAGCCTTAATCTAAACTTGTCTTTCTTTTTAGATGTCTTCAAACAATGTTGTTTCTGGCTCAAATGCTACCTGCTCCTTCTCTCTCATGAACCTTTGTAGGAGAGTCATCTTCGATGGTTCCAAATTTATGGATTAGATCTGGAACATCAGGATGGTCACAAGGTGCTAAAGGAACTTAATGAGTCGTCTGCTACTCCTGAGGAGATCGCCGAATTCTAGTCTCATGAGAGAGATGCCACGAAAATGGCATGTATCATGTTGGACACGATGACAGTCGAGCTCCAAAAGTCCTATGAGGACTACTACCCTTTTGAGATGCATTGGGACTTGATGGACCGCTACCATCAAAGTGCTCGCCAAGAAAGGTATGACATTATCTGCTCCATGATAACAACTCGAATGAAGGATGGTGAACCCATCACCGGCCGCTTGCAGAAAATGCAAAGGTATGTGGACCGGTTGCTGAAGCTAAATGTGAACTTCCCTGAGGAGTTGGCAATTGATATCATTTTTCACTCCTTAACTTCTTGTTTTGATCAACTCCGAATGACATACCACATGAACAAGGAGGAAGTTACACTCAAAAAACTTCAAGGACTCTTGAAGACCGCGGAAAGTGGTCTTAAGGGTAAGTCGGTTGTTACCACTCCTACTCCTACCGTGGCCCCTGTCTTGGCAATCGGGAAAGGCAAAGGGAAGAAGAGGAAGAGCCCTTCAAAGGGTACCAAGGGAAATTCCCTTGATGGATCCTCTTCAAGTGGAACCAAGAAAGGTTCCGTCACTCCTTCTGCTAACCCTAAAGAGGCTGAATGCTTATATTGCCATGAAAGGTCGCACTGGAAGCGAAACTGCCCAAAGTATCTGCAAGATGTGAAGGATAAGAAAGTGAAACCCAACCGTGCAGGTATTTACACTATATTGTCTAATAATTCACCCCATTCTAATTCTTGGGTCCTTGATACCGGTTGCGGTATTCATATTTGTTCTGATTTGTAGAGACTAAGAAGAAGTAAGGATGTAGAGCATGGGAAGATAAGCTTAATCACGGGGAATAGGAAAGCATCACCTGTCACCAAGATTGGAGTTTATAATTTGTTGCTAAGTAGTGGGTTAACCTTAGATTTGAATAAATTTTGTTACTCGTCTGAAATGGCGAGGAATATTATTTCTTTTCATGCTTTGTACGAACAATGGTT